TTATTTGTACTTCCTCTCCATCGGAATCATTTTTTTTCTTTCTATTCTCGAGACATTTCAGTCGGATATCAATACTTTTTACGTACATTTTTATTAACGTACATTCTTGTAGAATTCTTTGTACTTTGTCTGCAATATATATAAAAACATGCAAATATATAATAATATATAAAAAGGTAAAATGTAAATATTAATGTAAATATTAATGTAAATATTTGGAAGTTTTTTCTTACTGTAGGTATTTGAGCTGGCATCCGTGACTGGTTTTTGAATACCAGAGGTAACTTCTCTATTTGGACGAATTGGTTCTAAATCACACACACACACACATGCAAACATAATAATATATAAATAAATAAATAATACATAATAACATATAAATAACATATATACTGTGACGTGGCCGTCCCGTCGCGTCTATCCGCCCCGGCAATTGTGACGGGGCGCGAGCCGAGTGGCCGCGCCAAGGGTCAAGAGAGAGAGAGCTACCGTACTCCCCGGAGAGACGAGCGAATAGGCATAGTTGCGTATAGAATTAACTGTTTTTTTTGTACTTTTATTTGGTACCTGGCTTGAGGCACCTCACCATGGAACACCGACGAACAGGGGAGGGCATCATCGCCTCCCCGCGACAGCTAAGAACGACAGCCAAGGAAAACTCAGAAGAGTCGAGGATCCTGTCCCGGACAGCCCTGCATCATGAATCCGGACAGGGGAGAGCAGCATGGCCTCCCGTCGACAACCGGGAACGACAACCGCTGCGACAGCCATCCTCCTGGAGAGGATACGTCCGGGAAGGACCTCGCCCGGGCCATATAAGGGCCCGCTACAGCGTTCAAGTTTGGCGCTATTTCGCGCGGGGCGCGAAAATGCCTCGCGTGGCGCGCGAGGCGCCAGGACCTCGCGCGTGTCGGCCGCTAATTGGCCGGGGGTCCGCGCATCCCCCTGCGCGGCCAACGACCCCGCTATCGACCCTGGATCGCGAGATCCAGGGCTCACTTTGTCGCGGCCGCTCGCCTAAACCAGTCGAAACGTATTGTCGTGTGCACTTGTGAGACGAGACCGTGAAGGACGAGACCGAGGATCATCCCCGCAGCCGGGAGAAGAATTCTTCGGTGAGGTTGCCCACGAATTATTGTACTCCGCGAGCGTGATCGTGTCCGCTCGCCGGCCGTTCTGTCGCCGTCGCCATTACGGCTTATCGCGACCGCTCGAGCCTTCTGCCGAGTCGGTCGATTTTGGTGTATTTCGGGCGACCGGAGACAAGCGACCGAGGAAGCGCGGACACTGGCGACGGAAGTGCGTATCGTAGGGTAATTCTCGTCTCTCTCCGGGTATCAGGGTGCGTAATACGCGTAGCATCCGACCATTGGGTATCGACCGCGTGCGTCGTAAATCGCGAGAAATGCGTAGTTCGCACGGGCTGTCGTTTGGTTGTCGAAGCCGCGTCTCGCACCTCTGAAATATGTCTCAGAGCGAGTCTGTGGAACGTAATTGGTCGTGATTAATGCGTTTTCGTGTAGTATCATCGTCGTTCGGGAATATTGCGTGAAACTGAGTATTATCGTCGCGTCCATTGTGTGCGTGTGAGTTATTCGTCTCGCTAGCAGGAACGTAATTCCTCGAAATTGTCGCGGTGTGCGGGTATCGCACGATTCTAAGTATTGAGATCTGAGGTCAGGAAATTCCTGGCGAATATCGCGGCTATCGAAGGAGGCGCGGTGCGGGACTGTCGCCCGGCCTCCCTTATTTCCTTGATACGAGAAGATAATTAATTCTCACGCTGTCGAAGGTATCGGGGTGTGTAACACGACATTGTCGCCTCGCCCCGATTGCCAGAAATATTTGGGTTGCGAGCGTTGCCGAAAAAGGCGGAAAAATCTCCGACCGCCGCCGGCGATCGAACTTCGCCGGTATCGTCCGCCCATCGTATGCGAGATCTCTCCTCGCGGAATTCATATCTCGTCGCTTATGGCGTAGCTGACCGGCTATCTTATTTCGGGGTTGTCGACTCCGAGCACGCTCGGAGGAAATTGCTAGATAAGCAGCTAATTAGTAGGATCTCCGCGAGGCTGTCGAAACTACGAATTATAGGCGGGTATTATCTCTCTCTCTCTCGCGCACGGTACGACCGTTATTGAGAATTCGAATTATCAAATTCCATTATATCAATTATTGTTCTCAGGAGCTTCGACTTTAGGAAGCCGCCGTAACAGACGTTCTTTGTTAGACCGACTTAGAATATCGCGCGTTTTTCGAGCGTTTCGAGAATCATTGTCCGTGCATGTCTAGTACGTTATTTCTGTTTTCATTCTGTAGCGGTTTTTATTTCTTTTGTTAATCACTTTTCTTATTAGTTACTTTCTTAATAAACCTGTTATTTTATTATTTATTAAATCTCGCGTACTTTATTGGACTGGCGATCGTCCGTAATTTCTGTGTTCGTCGCTGTCTGTTAATTTAGTAAGCTCGCTCAATCAATTGACTTTTTCTCCCAAACCTCGCCCCTCTACCGTTAGGCGAGCTAGCCAGCCCGTGGCGAAGCGGGCTGTCGTATTCTTTCGCGTTTTTTTTTTGAAGAATTCGTGAAACTGGTACGTGAGAGATCGTACCTGGCGCCCAGTTCTGAGGTAACGAGACGGCCTTCGCTCCGCCGCGGCTCGCGCGTGGACTCCCTCCATCCCTGTCCCGCCGATCGCGAGTACATAAAACCCTTGTGTTTTTGACGGCGCTTCCGCTCCCCCGCGAGAATCAAAATTTAGAATAGAAAAAGCGTCGCAAAAATTTGGCGCCCAACGTGGGGCCACGTTTCAAAGAAAATATCGCGCATAGGCCACGCAATTTTGTTAACATAGGTCAGACCGCGAAAGTTTAGCGTAGAGCCACGTTGCAAAATTCGACATGGAGCAACGTCGCAAAAATTTGGCGTAGGTTTCGTTGCAAAAATAAATCCTATATTTCGACGGAGATTATTTTGCGAAATTTCGAGTTTGAACAAAAAAAAAAAAAAAAAAACAAGGACTTCGCGTTAAGTCAGAGAAAGAAAAAGTTCGGGGAGCTTGTGCGAGCTAAGATTATTTATTGAGTTCGTTCAAAGTCATTTTTTTTCTGTTCGATCGTGTATTCGTTTCATGTATGATGATTATTTTCGTTAGTCGTGTATTCGTTCTTGTTTGATTTAGACTTTCGTGGGAAATTTCTTTTGCCAACCTTCATATATTTGTTATCAGTTCTAGGATATTCGAACAATAACGGCTTTGTCTCGTGTTTTCGAGCTGTCGACGGTTATTGTAGTGTTGTCGAGGTCACATCTGGCCGAGTTCGAACATATTTATTTTGTTTCAAGTTTTTCTGTCGGGATCGTATGAGTCAAGTCGATCCAGAGGACGACTGGATTTTCGTATTAAATCGCGAACAATTATTCGAAGAACTAAAGCGGCGGAAACTTCCAACGGAGGGAAGTTATTCGATTCAGACCGCGCGTTTGCTGCGTCGCGTGCGTGAAGAGCGAAAATTTGAAACAATTGAAATGTCGGACGAGGAACTTTTGGAAGTTCCCGTAGACGCGATGGCTAGACCGGATAGCCCGATGGATCAAGCGAGATTTCGCGCACCCTCAGGCTCTCGCGATACTCCTCGCTCCGAAGGTCGAGATTTTTCGCGCGACCATAATGGAAATTCCGCAATGACTGCATATAACGTCATGCGGAAGTGGAACCTAAAGTTCTCGGGTACGAAAGGGGAGGACGCGGAGGCGTTTTTGCTGCGCATTGAGGAAGGTCGCGAGTTAGTTCCTGTAACGGATGAGGATATTTTGCGTTGCTTGCCCTTTTTTCTAACGGGCATGGCTCTCTATTGGTTCCGCAGTAGGCGTAATAGGCTGTCGAACTGGGCTGTCTTTAAAGACGCGTGGAGAACGCGCTTTGGCGACCCAGATTTTCAGTACGCTCTGCGCGAAGAAATAATGAGAAGGACTCAGGGCGAACATGAGCCTGTTACCGATTATTTCACGTGTCTGAGAACCATGCTAGATAGATTATCGCCGCCGTGGACGGAATCGGAGCAAGTCAGCTGCGCGTTTAGGAACTTATTACCGCGACTCCAACAATCTCTTCGTCGCGATGAGGTGCGAGAGTTAGATGCCTTGGAAAATTTAGCGACTCGCGTCGAAGCCAGTCATTCGCTATCGCAACGATATCGGGCTCCTCCGACTCCGGAGAAATCGTTGTTCCCCGATCTCGCTTATCACACGCCGCGTAACACCAAGCCGGCGACCCGAGGCCGCGAGACCCTGGCCGCGTTAAGCACTTCGGAGGAGTGGACGGAGGCCAAATCAAGGTTACGTCGGAATAAGAATCGTGCAGCTCAAGCCGCGACCGAGGCGGAGGCCGCGACGAGTAGTTCGCCGTCGTCAGGGGCGACCGCCATAGAATCGACAGCCGCGCGTAATTCCACGATTAAATGTTGGAACTGTGAGGGTATCGGACACATCTCGCGAAATTGCAAAGCCGCTCCGCGGAAGCACTGTTATAGATGCGGTCGAGCGGAGGTGACTTTACGTACGTGTCCTGACTGTTCGGGAAAAGAATAAAGGAGTCGAATAATGGGGGGGACCCGACTCCTGAACAACCCCAACCCCCTGTTCGTGTCGTTACTTGTCAGGAATTCTCGTTTAGTGCTTTTGGTTGTCGTGACATTCCGTCTATGTTATTTGTTCGAATTAACTTATTAGGTAAAGAAATGGGCGCTTTGGTGGATTGTGGTTCGACTCGTACGTTTTTGGGCTCTAGCGTAATCGAATTAGTAAAGAAATCGAATGTGAAGTTTCGAAAGTCAGATGACCGACGAGTCGTTACGGCAACCGGCCAGACGACACGGGTTAGGGGGAGGTGGATCTTCCTTTTTCGTTAAATAATAGAACTCATAATGTGAGAGCGTATGCGTTGCCGTCATTAGCCATTCCGTGTATAGTAGGGCTAGATTTTTTAAGTTTATTTGGTATGACGGTCAATTTTTCGCGACAAGAATGGTACTTCGAAAATGAGCCAGCCAAGGTGTATCGCTTTCAGAATCAGCCGTTAGATCCCGTTTTTCATTTGAATGTTATTGAGAATACTGCCACTCGTAATTTAAGTAGCTCTTTCGTGTCGATAGATGAGAGCGTAGCGGAAACGAAATTAGACGATGCTAGGCCGGCAAATGGGCTGTCTGTCGCGAAAGCGACGCGTGATCGCAAGACAAAGAAAGTTCGGCTGTCGAAATCTGATCCGCTTATTTGTTGTGGATTAAATGAGTTATCGTCGCGCGAAGATCAGATATTGGTGAAGTTTCTAAAGAAACATATAACAGGCGATCCAGATAAACCGGGAGCGACGAATTTGACGGAACATAGAATCGATGTAGCCGGACATCGTCCAATTAAACAGCGATATTATCCCGTTTCGCCGAAAATCCAAGAAGCTATCTACGCGGAGGTAGATAAAATGTTAGCGGCAAAAATAATAGAACCGTCGAAGAGCGAATGGTCTAGTCCGATAGTTATGATCAAAAAGCCGAATGGTAGCTATAGATTCTGTCTGGATTTTCGAAAATTAAATAACGTTTCGAAAAAGGATGCGTACCCGTTACCGTACATGAACGCCATCCTGGATAAATTGCGATCAGCAAGTTATATTTCGACGATCGACTTGAGTCAGGCGTATTTCCAGATTCCGCTGGAGAGAAATAGTCGCGAGTTAACGGCATTCACGGTACCGGGGAAAGGATTATTTCATTTCACCCGCATGCCGTACGGGCTCACCGGTGCCCCCGCGACATTTCAGCGATTGCTCGATCGACTCATAGGTCCCGAGATGGAATCTCACGCTTTCGCTTATTTAGACGACATCGTGGTCGTAACGCGTACTTTTGACGAACATTTGATTTGGCTAAAGCGTGTGTTAGATCGCATTAGAGAGGCAGGTCTAACCATAAACCCAGAAAAGAGCAAATTCTGTAGGTCGCAAGTTAAGTATCTCGGGTTTTTAATTCAACAGGAAGGGCTTAAGGTAGACCCTGACAAAACCGCGCCGATAGTCGAGTATCCGCCGCCGAAGAATATAAAGCAGTTAAGACGATTTATTGGAATGGCGTCTTGGTATCGTCGGTTTATACCCCAATGTGCAACTCAGTTAGAACCGCTAACTCGTCTCCTCCGAAAGAATTTCTCTTGGGAGTGGGGGGATGAACAAAGAAATGCATTCGAAGCAATTAAATCGCACATTACGTCACCGCCTACGCTGTCGTGTCCGAATTTCGGACTGCCGTTCACCTTGCAGACGGATGCGAGCTCGGTTGGTCTAGGAGCGGTCTTAACGCAGGAACGGCGTAGAACATGTCATCGCGTTCGCGAGTAGGGCGCTGTCGGAGGCCGAGAAGAAATACTCCACGACGGAACAGGAGTGTTTGGCTGTCGTTTGGTCCATTAAAAAGTTCAGACCGTACCTCGAAGGGTATAATTTTAAAGTTATCACGGACCATAGTAGCTTGAGATGGCTTCACAACTTAAAGAATCCGACTGGCCGTTTAGCGCGATGGGCCTTGGAGCTCTTAGAGTACGATTATAAGATCGAACATCGGAAGGGAGCGTTGCACCATGTTCCCGACGCGTTGTCGCGCATGTACGAGGATACCGCGGAATTATGCGCTGTAGCGATTACCGGCGACGCTTGGTATGATGCACGCGTTCGAAGCGTGGAAAACGAGCCGCGTAAAAATCAGGGCTGGAAAATTAATAACGACCAGCTGTATTTTCGAAAACCGAGCGCCGTCGTGTCCCAGGTTGTCGACGATCTCGAGCAATGGAAACTAGTCCTGCCGAGAGAAGCGCGCGTGAACGTCCTTAGAGAGGCTCACAATACTCCACAAGCCGGTCATCTCGGAGTGGAGAAAACCTATCAGAGGGTAGCGACGCGTTACTTCTGGCCGCGAATGTTTAAAGAAGTTGCCGGTTATGTTCGACATTGCGATGTGTGCCAAAGAACAAAGGTGGAACAGAATGTGCCGATGGGTTTGATGGGGCGTAGAGCTGTCGAGACTCCGTGGACGGTGGTCGCCACGGATATTATGGGGCCGTTTCCGCCGAGTAAGAACGGGAACGCGTACATCTTGGTCATGCAAGACCTGTTTACTAAGTGGATTGAATGTTGCCCCCTGCGAAAAGCGACCGGCAAAAAGATCCGCGAGCTCTTGACAGAATTAATCGTAAATCGATGGGGCGCGCCGCGAGTGCTTCTGACGGATAACGGCACTGAGTTCATTAACCGCGAACTGCAGGCTTTTGCGGAGGAGCACGGCATAACTCACACGACTGTGCCTCCGTACCATCCTCAGGCGAACCCTGTGGAGCGCGTGAATAGGGTAATTAAGACCATGATAACGGCCTTTCTGGAAAGCGATCACCGCGAGTGGGACCTGCACTTGGCTGAGTTCCGTTTCGCGTACAATACGGCGTACCATACTTCGTTACACGCCACTCCTGCGTTCTTGAATTTTGGTAGGGAACCGCAGCCTATAAATACAGTGCGTGGAGGGCACGAGCAGGCTGTCGAAGTCGCGGAGACAAATCCCGCGAGTTGGAAGGAACGCATGGAGAGGATAAAAGCTTTACGCGAATGGATAATCGAAAACTTAGAAGCCGCGCATGAAAAGCAGTCGCGATATTACAATCTGCGTAGGAGAGATCAACGTTTTGCGATCGGCGAGCGAGTTCTGAAGCGGCAACATATCCTATCGTCGGCTGCTCAGAACATATCGGCTAAGTTAGCGACGAAATTCCACGGCCCGTTTACTATCGCGAAAATATTATCGCCCGTGGTTTATGAGTTACGTGATGACGCGGGTAGATCGTTAGGTAAGGTGCATATCAAAGATTTAAAATTGTATAATGTACCACATCCTACCCTTTCCTTAGGCAATTGACGAGAAAAAGAGAAAGAAGCGACAATGTCTCGCAGGTTCCTGGAGCAATACAGGGACGTATTCGAGGCTGTCGACGAGGCGCGTCCAGGATTCTGGACGGCGCTGGCCGAGGAAGCCCGAGCGATCCTAGAGAGCCGCACAACCACCCGAGGCGCCGTAGTGCGCGAGTTCCCGGCCCAATTGGAAATAGGGACACAGGCTGTCGTGGCGACAAGGGACGCTGAATCCCAGGTGGCTATCGGGAGCCGCAGTGAGGTGGCGGTACAAGTATCGCCGAGGCACCCCGAGCCGGACTCCACATCCCCAGATGGGCGGGAGACTTCTTCCCCCGCCCGGGAGTGCGTGGGTCCGGTTGCCGGGCCCTCTTCTTCCTCCTCATCGGTTCCGCGGCGGCGTCGAGGCTGCTGGAACTGCGGCTCCAGGAGGCATGTAGCCGGTGCGTGCCCCAAGGCGGAGAAGAGGCTTTTCTGCTTCCGCTGTGGGACTCAGGGAGTCACCGTAAAAGCGTGCCCCAATTGTCGCGAGGAATGGCGGGCGCAAGGCCCGTATAAGTAGGGAAAGGGCCATGACAGGCCCCATCTGCCGAGCGGTCAAAGGACCCGGCCAAGGGATCGCCCGAGACCATACTAAAGGCTGTCGTCGCGTTGCCTGCGGGCCGCCTCCAGGCTATCGACCCCCCCTGTTTATCAGGCGAGGGACCTGTAGGATTCGTTTTTTTTTTAATAAACCTCTTTCTCAATTGGTATTCGGCGTTGTTTGGGTATTTTTCTTTCTTTCTCCCTCTTCACCTAACTCCCCCTAAGTAAGTTAGCGTAGACGACGGGGCAGTCGTCCCGTAGCAATCACGCGAAGTAAGGCGGTATCACGGGCCCTGAACCCCAAAGAGAGACAATGTCGCGACGTAAGCTCGAGAGGGGCCGAGATAAACGGCTCTCTAGTAATGGGTGAAACCACTTCCTCATCTAACGTCAATTTTCTTTTGTTTGTTTTGTCCGTTGTTTTCTTTGCCGTGTTTCCTCGACTCCGGGGACTTCGGCCGCCCGAGCGGGGGCGAGCGGACGGTGCGGTCCGCCTTAGCGGCCACCGTGGGTAGCCGAAGCCGATGGGCTCTCTCTTGGCATGGGGGGATGTGACGTGGCCGTCCCGTCGCGTCTATCCGCCCCGGCAATTGTGACGGGGCGCGAGCCGAGTGGCCGCGTCAAGGGTCAAGAGAGAGAGAGCTACCGTACTCCCCGGAGAGACGAGCGAATAGGCATAGTTGCGTATAGAATTAACTGTTTTTTTTGTACTTTTATTTGGTACCTGGCTTGAGGCACCTCACCATGGAACACCGACGAACAGGGGAGGGCATCATCGCCTCCCCGCGACAGCTAAGAACGACAGCCAAGGAAAACTCAGAAGAGTCGAGGATCCTGTCCCGGACAGCCCTGCATCATGAATCCGGACAGGGGAGAGCAGCATGGCCTCCCCTCGACAACCGAGAACGACAACCGCTGCGACAGCCATCCTCCTGGAGAGGATACGTCCGGGAAGGACCTCGCCCGGGCCATATAAGGGCCCGCTACAGCGTTCAAGTTTGGCGCTATTTCGCGCGGGGCGCGAAAATGCCTCGCGTGGCGCGCGAGGCGCCAGGACCTCGCGCGTGTCGGCCGCTAATTGGCCGGGGGTCCGCGCATCCCCCTGCGCGGCCAACGACCCCGCTATCGACCCTGGATCGCGAGATCCAGGGCTCACTTTGTCGCGGCCGCTCGCCTAAACCAGTCGAAACGTATTGTCGTGTGCACTTGTGAGACGAGACCGTGAAGGACGAGACCGAGGATCATCCCCGCAGCCGGGAGAAGAATTCTTCGGTGAGGTTGCCCACGAATTATTGTACTCCGCGAGCGTGATCGTGTCCGCTCGCCGGCCGTTCTGTCGCCGTCGCCATTACGGCTTATCGCGACCGCTCGAGCCTTCTGCCGAGTCGGTCGATTTTGGTGTATTTCGGGCGACCGGAGACAAGCGACCGAGGAAGCGCGGACACTGGCGACGGAAGTGCGTATCGTAGGGTAATTCTCGTCTCTCTCCGGGTATCAGGGTGCGTAATACGCGTAGCATCCGACCATTGGGTATCGACCGCGTGCGTCGTAAATCGCGAGAAATGCGTAGTTCGCACGGGCTGTCGTTTGGTTGTCGAAGCCGCGTCTCGCACCTCTGAAATATGTCTCAGAGCGAGTCTGTGGAACGTAATTGGTCGTGATTAATGCGTTTTCGTGTAGTATCATCGTCGTTCGGGAATATTGCGTGAAACTGAGTATTATCGTCGCGTCCATTGTGTGCGTGTGAGTTATTCGTCTCGCTAGCAGGAACGTAATTCCTCGAAATTGTCGCGGTGTGCGGGTATCGCACGATTCTAAGTATTGAGATCTGAGGTCAGGAAATTCCTGGCGAATATCGCGGCTATCGAAGGAGGCGCGGTGCGGGACTGTCGCCCGGCCTCCCTTATTTCCTTGATACGAGAAGATAATTAATTCTCACGCTGTCGAAGGTATCGGGGTGTGTAACACGACATTGTCGCCTCGCCCCGATTGCCAGAAATATTTGGGTTGCGAGCGTTGCCGAAAAAGGCGGAAAAATCTCCGACCGCCGCCGGCGATCGAACTTCGCCGGTATCGTCCGCCCATCGTATGCGAGATCTCTCCTCGCGGAATTCATATCTCGTCGCTTATGGCGTAGCTGACCGGCTATCTTATTTCGGGGTTGTCGACTCCGAGCACGCTCGGAGGAAATTGCTAGATAAGCAGCTAATTAGTAGGATCTCCGCGAGGCTGTCGAAACTACGAATTATAGGCGGGTATTATCTCTCTCTCTCTCGCGCACGGTACGACCGTTATTGAGAATTCGAATTATCAAATTCCATTATATCAATTATTGTTCTCAGGAGCTTCGACTTTAGGAAGCCGCCGTAACAGACGTTCTTTGTTAGACCGACTTAGAATATCGCGCGTTTTTCGAGCGTTTCGAGAATCATTGTCCGTGCATGTCTAGTACGTTATTTCTGTCTTCATTCTGTAGCGGTTTTTACTTCTTTTGTTAATCACTTTTCTTATTAGTTACTTTCTTAATAAACCTGTTATTTTATTATTTATTAAATCTCGCGTACTTTATTGGACTGGCGATCGCCCGTAATTTCTGTGTTCGTCGCTGTCTGTTAATTTAGTAAGCTCGCTCAATCAATTGACTTTTTCTCCCATACCTCGCCCCTCTACCGTTAGGCGAGCTAGCCAGCCCGTGGCGAAGCGGGCTGTCGTATTCTTTCGCGTTTTTTTTTTGAAGAATTCGTGAAACCGGTACGTGAGAGATCGTACCTGGCGCCCAGTTCTGAGGTAACGAGACGGCCTTCGCTCCGCCGCGGCTCGCGCGCGGACTCCCTCCATCCCTGTCCCGCCGATCGCGAGTACATAAAACCCTTGTGTTTTTGACGGCGCTTCCGCTCCCCCGCGAGAATCAAAATTTAGAATAGAAAAAGCGTCGCAATACATACACCATGCAAATATATATATATATATATATATATATATATATATATATACAGGGTGGGGCATTTATCTTGAGACAAGATAATATCTCGATTGGAGTCGATTATTTTGAAAAAAGTTTTAGACAAAAGTTGTATGGTTTCAAGGACATAAGATGGTCTTATTAGTTTGATCTTGAAGAGCCACCTGAAGGACACGCGAAGGTCAGCTCCAACTTTTTAAATGGGACACCCTATATGCTTTTGCATATTCTTGTAGCTCATCTCAAGAGCTTTCCAAAACACTATAATTAAGTTAGTTTTCATTAAGTACTTTCCAAGTTATGAGGCTTGAAATCATTTTTTAATTTTACATAAACCGTAAAATATCTTGTAAAATATTCATTTTTCGATTATTTTACCTTAATACTTTTATGTACAAAATAATGAGAAAAATCAATTGGTGTAAAGAAAACTCATAGTTGTTTCGAAAAAAAAAATGTAATTTGCAATTAACAATTACATATTTTTTCTTAAAAATAACTATGTCTTTTCTTTACACCAATTGATTCCTCTCATTATTTTGTACATAAAAGTATTAAGGTAAAATAATCGAAAAATGAATATTTTACAAGATATTTTACGGTTTATGTAAAATTAAAAAATGATTTCAAGCCTCATAACTTGGAAAGTACTTAATGAAAACTAACTTAATTATAGTGTTTTGGAAAGCTCTTGAGATGAGCTACAAGAATATGCAAAAGCATATAGGATGTCCCATTTAAAAAGTTGGAGCTGACCTTCGCGTGTCCTTCAGGTGGCTCTTCAAGATCAAACTAATAACACCATCTTATGTCCCCCTTGAAACCATACAACTTTTGTCTAAAACTTTTTTATATTAAATAATCGATTTAAATAATCGACTGCAATCGAGATATTATCTTGTCTCAAGATAAATGCCCCACCCTGTATATATATGTATGTATAAGAAATAAAACATACCTTCTATTTCAAAAGCTGGTGGTGTATATGTTGAATTAGACGCTATTACAACAGGAATCTCGTTCAATGTTATGACATTGCTATTCTGATTGTTTTCATTAACTAGTACATCTGTACAAGAAAATTCTCCATTGCAAATATCTGTTGTTGAAGAAGACAGAATAGAGTCCGGTAGCTTGTCATGTGATACATTAAGTGTTGAAATTTTGTAATTTTGCTTAATCACATTGCTTTTCTTATTTAATTGTGGAGGAGGCTTATAACCTGTAATAAAATATTAATATTTAGAAGAAAATTATTTTAGTATTACGTATTATATAACTTTCACTTCTCTATTGTGTTGTAAAATTGTATTTATTTTTATTATTTGAAAAAGTATGCTATAAAATAAAATTTCATCATGACTAAAATTTAATAATTTTGTTATTACTATTTTTAAATGGAATAAACATAATTTCTTTTCTTGTTACATTTTGATTCTAAATCTTCAGAACTTTCACTGTTGTCGCTGGTCAAAAGCTTTCTTTTTTTTTTTCGCTGACCTTTCCCACGAAAAACATTCTCTTCAGTAGAAGTGCAGTTGCTGTTTTCGGCTTTTTTTCTTGCCAGTTGCACAGTTCCTATTGAACATAATAATTTATTTTACGAGAGAATTTATAATTTCTATTTCTATTTCTCAATAAAGAATAATTTCAGTTAAGCATAGGAAAATTTACTATAATAGTTTGCACAATTATTCATAACAGTAAAATATATACCATAAAATCCTTCAATCTCTACGTCATAAATTTCCCATGTTGTTGGATCAGGTGTTACGCTGTAATTAATATATTGTGATACATTTTTAACTTTGGCCACCAGCATTTATTTTTTTCTTCAGTGAGCCATGATGATGGTATCTCTGAGTAATCATTGCTTTTTATAAAATGCACTACAGCATAGGAAACCATATTTCTTCTTATATTTTCTATAGCATACCACAAACATAAATTCCAAAATTTCTATATTAGTGTGCATATTTTAGTGTGAATAATGATAATAAGTATATTATATTAATAAGTGTATTATATATTAATAAAAATTATGTATAAAAGGCAATATTACAAGATCTCCAGATTCTGTTTCAATAACGACATTCTTTTCACGCACTTGATTTATATTTACTGAATTGATAGCAAACATGTCAGTTTTAGATATCAGAAGAATAGATAAATTGATAGAGTTACAAGGCGTATTAAAGAAAGATTTCCATTTTGTAACACATTTACCAGAGAAGGAAATATGATTTTGATATAAAATTTTTTCCACAAAGATTACTGATCCATCATGTAGAAAACAACAATTGTCAAATTCTTTTGTAGATAAACTAAATCCTGCAAATTCTATTTTCTCGATCATGTCATTTTGTGCATGTTTAAAACGAATAATGGGATATACTTTTATTTCATTTTTTTTTTACTATTTGTGCTGTTTCATGTAATCTGTTGAATACTTGTTCTAAATAATTTTTTCCTATATGTATTTTACTCTTTAATTTATATAAATAATTTTCAAATTTAAATGCACTAAATGAATCCAATGGACCAAACAAGGCCACATCATTTGAAAGATGTATAAGATTGTGTACATTATATGAAATGTGTTGCACACCATATAATTCACCATAATTTTTTACAAAATAAATTAATAATTCCTGTGCATATGATCGGTGACTAATACACATATGTGTATGACAAAGTATTCTAATTGATACACTTAAGCATAGAAAATGTTCATAAACACGTTTTGACAAAACATCTTTTAATAATACTGGTCCTGTATAAAGTATAAACAAACGGAACTCCGTAGCTTTCCATCTATCGATTTCAAATAAGCTTCGAGGGTATCTAGCGAATTCTAATGGTATAAATTTTTTCATATTTTTGTATGTATCTGAAGTACTTTGTAGTAAGTGTGATTTTATTCGAACATGCATTTTGCCTCGTACCCAGAATTGCAATAATCTTTTCATAATTCCTAAGCATACTAAATGCATATAATCCAAGGGTAATTGCGATACCAAACCGATGCCTGTATTTTCAAGAATAGATGATATACGATGATGCTCAGGTTGCATTCTGTTTTTAAATGACATATCTGTTCGAAGAGAGCATTTGTACTCTAGAAAAACAACCCTATTTTCAATAAAGTCACCTTCGCATATACATTTTGTACAGCCAAAATATCCTGTATGATTTTTTATTCCAGCGATAAAAGCTCTTGCTGATGCATCGCACACAAAAGCATTTATTTTTACAGGAATAAGTTTTTCATCTATAAATATACCACACTGATTCTTTATAAGCAACATATCTAAAACTAATGGCTGTAAGAAAATATTTACATTTTCTGGTTTTTGGTACCATAATAAATTCCAACTGTGAATGGCTCAGTATACAAGGCATTATCCACTAGAGCAGCTAAAATAGGCCAAAATTGCCCAGAAGAACTTTTGGATACAGGTAATCCATCTATATTAAAATTTAAACATATTTCTTGCGGTAAATTAACATAATGTTTGTATATAGAAGCTCTGATGCCTTTTTCTAAACCAAAATGTATATATTTGCCCTCTTCGAAAATATGTGTAATATTCGACTGTATATTTCGTGGTGTTTTCATTAAAGATCTGACATCTTTTGGCAACTTTTATGATGTTCGTACTTTTTCAAAATTTTTAGAAGATCATTTGCTGCTGCATGACTTATATTATATTTTAAAATCCAAAAACGTATATCATATGTAATATCATGTGTCGAATCATTTTGCATTTTTTACGGTAAAATTTTCGTCGCTTTCGATATCACTTAACGATTCGAAATTACTGTAATCACTTTTAGATTCAATACCATCATTATTAAGATTCGGTATAAAAGCAGCATCATTATTAACAATACTATTTGTTGATGCATTTAATAATTCACTGCATCTTGTGAGGTTAATCTCTCATTTGTTAGGTTAACAATACGTCTACGCTGTTGGCGAACTGATAAATCACAAAAATCTTTTCTTTTCGACATTTTTACGCACTTTAAGATTATTATTATTAGTATAGTATAATAAGTTATTTAAAATTTATATTTTACCTCAGATATATTTTGCAATCATGTGCGCGATACTTGTGAATAACTTTTAATGCGACACTACGACTGCACAAACGCACAATTCGTTCTATCACCGTCCAATTTAAATATCACTTATATATATCAGCTACAAATACGATACATATCGTTACACAGTTAATGATACGTATCAAATAGTAGTACATTTACGTATCTTTTATATGCTATTTTTACATATATGAAATGTATTAAACAGAACACATTTATGTGTCATATACATAAATTAGTTACATATCAATGATACTTCCAGATACTTTCTGGTTATATAACAAGAAATATCAGTTACATGTGTGTTTGCTGGGTGGGTATTCAAGTTGTACGAAGTGTACAACGGAAGGAGAATATATAGGAACCCGACTGTGTTTTCCACAAATTGATGCACCACTTAGATCAGATGATAATTTCATACAAAAAATAGATGATAATTATCACAAGCCAAATATAACGTGCAGCCTCTTAAATATACCTCACTTCAAACCTGTTACACATGTTCCATTGGATTATATGCACTTAATATGTTTGGGAATCATGCGTAAATTATTATATTTATGGCTTGATGGAGATTACATTTTCGATTACAAACATAGAATCGTTGACAACATTTCTACACATTTAATAACTCAATTAAAACCATCAATACCTATGGAATTTGCACGAAAACCACGAAAATTGGATTGTCTAAAATTATGGAAAGCAACGGAATATAGATTAATATTATTATATACAGGTCCATTGGCATTTAAATCAGCATTAAAAAAAAATGTGTATATACATTTATTACATTACACGTGATTATGAGAATCTTATCTTCAGAAGATTTACATGAATATCTAACATATGCACAAGATCTTATTCATTTTTTTATCAAAACATTTATAAAACTGTACGGAATTCAAAACATATCACATAATGTTCACAGCCTTATTCATCTTGTGGATGATGTCAAGAGATTTGGACCTGTTGATAACTTTAGTGCCTTTAAATTTGAAAATTACATGCAGATATTAAAAAAATATTTGAGAAAAGCAGAGAAACCTTTGCAACAAGTTGTGCGAAGATACGTTAGAAAAAAGTGAATTTATGCACATCATCTGCTTTATCAGATTCTGTTCGAATATATCCATTTTTGACATCGTTGCATTATGATGGTCCTCTTATATTGAATTGCCGCAATCCACAATATAAAATTGTGAAATATAATGGATTTACATTTAAAGTTGGAACACTTGCAGATAGTTGTTGCGGCTTAAATTGTGGTGCAATTGTTTGTATTAAAAATGTGGCATACTGCACACGGCGAAATATTCCTATAATTATTGGCTACAAATTTTTGGAAAAAGAAGACTTATTTACTGTTCCTTGTGCATCTTCTATGCTTGACATTTATTCTGTACATTTACGCTCTGATTTAAGATCATGGCCATTAAAAAATATAGTTAAAAAATATGTACAGTTGCCTTGCGGAGATGATAAATATGCAGTTTTTCCACTCATACATTGCAAAATGTAAATGACTTTTCTAATTATGCAGAATGACAGAAAGAAAGTATTACGCAGTTGTTGAGTTTGAAGATGGTTTGCAAGTGATACCTGATAATTGGTTGAATGAAGATTTAACAAAGGCTGTTTGGCCAACCTTCACAAATAATAAACGATATTACAAGGCTGTAAAATTTATGGAAGAACCATTATCTACTTGGTTAGAGCATCCAATCTGTAAAATATATGGAAAGTTTTGTAAGTGTCTTGTCAAATATTTAATTTATCATTATATATATATGTATGTATAGATATTTTTGAATTATACAGTAAAATAACATTTCTATTAAATATATATTATTTCTTTTTCAGTAAATTATGCCAGTAGCAAGGAAAAAATTAAAAGAAGCTGAAGCGTTATCTGATATAAATTCTGATACTGATAGAAATGAATCTTTAAAAAAAATCTAGAAAAGTCAGAGCTGCTAAAATTTTTGATAAAGATACGAGTAGCGATGAACAATCGGATTCTTCACTTATTTCGGAACTCCCAAAAGTCCCTGAAAAACGTGCAATAACTGCATTGAAAAATAACTGTATTGAAAACAAACATGTACTACTAAAACAAAAATGCAACATTTTCACAAACAGGTAAAAATATAATATAATAATATAATAATATAAAAATATAATAAGTAATATTAATGGAGTAAATAGTAATAAATTATGAAAAAAAAAAGGTTAATAATAAAACACTGTGGTTTCTAAATTATGGATGTAATTATATAAACAACTCCACAAAAGAATACATAGAACGAGATAAATTAAATATAAAATCATAGGAAAAATTTTTCTAAGTATATGTTTTTATCTAAAAATATAAAATAAAACGTATCTCGTTTGAATTACAATATAAAAACAAAAAAATTAACATTAGCTTACGTATTGCACTAACTCAAAAGATATGTATATGTATGTATATGTACATCTAATTAAAAATATTTTTTATACCTTTATATAAAATAACTATAACTTAATATAATTTGGAATATTAATAAAGTGGAATATTAATAAAACAGATTAATATAATGTATCTAATATAAATATTTGGTTTATATTAATTGAGTCTGTTTTGTGATATTATTGCATATTATGTTTGATTATAAATAATAATACAAAACTTAAAAGTGCCTATATATTGATGCTAATTAATATTAAAAGTGTATTAAAATGTTATAATAAAAAAAATTATTTTGTTCTAGATGTACAAAATGACACTGAAGATTTACTTTATGCATCAGACACAGAACAATCATTTACAAAGGATTTTGAATCCGCTAACTTTACTGAAACAGCAAGTATGCCAATCCAACAAGCAAAGCTTGATTCGAGTTTCAATTGTAATCAAGGTAATATATTAATTGTATTTAATGTTTAATTTTACAATTTACTTTATAGAATATAATCCATTACAGAAGACTTCATATTGTATCCAATGTACATTTGATTGCATATATTGAACATTAAACAGTGAATTCTGTAATGAATTAAATTTCTTTAATTTTCATTAAAGAGCTTCTGCACACAGGACGCGTCAACGCGTTACAAGTGTCGAGATACAAAATTATATACAAATATAGTATATGAATACAACAAATTTTTAATATTTTACAGAAACTAAAAATTTTCGACGTTTTGTTGTTGGAAAGTTGATAAGTTTGGAATTAAAAAATAATTCTATTGAAAGACATCTAAAGCTTATTATAGAAAAACTTCCAATTACTAATTTTGAAGAAAAAGAAAATGTTGTAGACATTTTTCAAGACTTGCCATTGCAAAATAAAAATGATCTTGACGTAATCGAAGCAAAACTAATTAATGATAAAAGTTATCGAAGTTAAATGGTAAGCCCATATTATTTTGATCTTTTTCTGAACAAAAAAATATTTTTGAAAAAAGTAACAATCTGATGGAAAATACAATTTTTAGTAAAAATATTAGTTTAAATTGTCGTTAGAAAATTTTATGTATTATATTTTTTGAATGTTACATAAATTCTCGTTATAATAAAATTACTAAATTTATTATCTGCTACATTATTTAACATAAACTAATCTATTTAATGTACATAATTTTTTGAGAACAGTAGATATATATATTCAACAAGCTTTTTAATGATTTTATAAAGAAGTTTTTACATTAATTTATTATTGAATGTTTGATCGAATATTTTCATACAATTTATTAAACGTTTATATTTATTAAAAATTTTACAATTGCTTTTCAAATTTTAAATTGACATCTTTGTTGAGGATTACTTTATATAAAGAATTTTAAAAAATAATTATATAAAAATATTAAATTATATAGTTGTAGCTAATATGTTTCAAAAATAATTATTGATAGATAAGTTTTATACCAATATGTATAGTAATTTTATGTAGAATAGTACTTGAGAGCATATTATTTTTGTACATATTATCAAACAAATATGATAGTTTAATAAAATTTTATAATGCCTTTTTATAACAATATAATAACTTTTTATAACAATTTCAGATTAAACAATTGACTCGTGTTACATGTAAAGATATAAAGACTTCGTGTACACATTTGATGAGAAAAATTTTTTCCAACGATTTGGCAGTACATTACAGCTGTATGGGGCAAAAAAAAAAAGAAAAATTTTCGCAGCTACAAATCTGCATAGTGATCATGTGTAAGTAAAGTAAATTCAAAAACAATCTATTTTATTATTATTCTATTAATAAAATAATGATTTCTTAAAAATTAAAAATTATTTCACAGTATCCAGTAATTTTATCAAATAACAAGAAAGTAGTTATACAAATGTTGAATGTTTTAAACATTCTCTTTTCATATAGTACAAAGAAAGTGTACAAGCATTTCTTAATTATTTTAACTTATATATTCTAAATTAGAGTTATTAAATGAAATTTTTTAAAATTATTAATAAACAGATAATTTTTAAAAATATATTTTTTTAGGTGTAATAAGAAAAATATATGAAAATGCAACAGATGAACAAATTTCCTCTCCAATAAAAATATGACTGGCCCACGCAAAAGAACGTATGGAAAGAGAGAAAGAACATCAAAATACAATAGATTAAGAAGCTGGAATTGTTTCTTCTTGAAGATTGTTTTTTAATATATTTTTAGTTTTATAAACCAAATTAATATTTTGTGCAATACTTTCTTTTGATTTGCAATACTTTCTTTCTTTGGATTAAATATAATTTTTTTAAATGTATTTTTAGTTCTAAATAATTTTTAGTTCTAAATATGATAAATGATTAATAATAATTAATAATAATAAATATGCAAAATGTAAATGCATTGTTATACACATACTCTGCGACAAATATGGATCGTTTGTAATAAGTGTGTTGTGATTTTTCATTGCTGACAAACGTCATAAGTTATGTTGACACATTTGTTACTTAGATTAACAAATATATAACATATATTTGTTCTTGTTGTTACATATGTAATGAATATTAATTTGAGTTATCTTAATATAAATATTTATATTAATTTTTAAATTCCTTTAATATTAAGCATTTTTTAATTTTGCGAAATGATAGTAATTAATAAAAAAATTCAAATAATTAAAAAAAATAAATCACTGAATCACATAATCTATAAAAATTTATTACAGTGATTATACGGATAAAAACTATTTAAATGAAAATATTATAAAATGCAAATGTACAATGTGTGATAAAGCATTATTTAATAAATTTATACATTTTAATTAATTCCTATCTCACTTTATTTTAAAATGTATCATAATTATAAGTACAATCGCTAGCTTTTGTGTAAAAACGGTATGTCTTTATTTACTATAATGAAAATAATATGTTTGTATTAATTGTCTCACGAATGATATATATATATATATATATATATATATATATTATATATATATCTCATTCGTAGGACAATTAATTACAACATTTATTTTCATTATAGTAAATTAATGAAAACTGTTATATATATATATAATATATATATATATATATATAACATACATGAAATACCGTTAACATTCTATAGATATCTCTAGTATACACTACAATATATCTCAGTATTTGCTATGAATCAAAATAGGCGGACATTAGAGAATTCTTAGTATATACTTAGTATATCATAGTATGTATCTCGAATGTTCTGAGAATATATGCATTGTACTTTTGCGATATTCTTCGAACATTCTCAGTATCTACATGTGCTGTTAGGTAGAATGAATGCTTTTAATCCGAATAACGCACGCCTACACAACGTACAAACTAGAAATAACGCTTTTTTTTCAAAATATCATGCGATGTTGCGAACTACTGAATTAACTAGAAATAATGCTTTTTTTCCGAATAAAGCACCCTATACGACTACAAAACGAGAAATAATCGCTTTTTTTCAAGATAGCATGCGATGATGCCGAACTATTGAACTAACTGCAATGAATGCTTTCAATCCGAATAACGCACGCCTATACGAC